AGCAGCTGCCGTAGCACCAGCTGTAACAGCAGCAGCTGTAACAGCAGTAACAGCAGTAGCAGAAGCAGCAGTAGCAGCTGTAACAGCAGTAGCAGCAGTAGCAACAGCTGCAGTAGCAGCAGCTTTAACAGCAGTAGCAGCTGTAACAGCAGTAGTAGCAGCTGTAACAGCATCAGCAGCTGTAACATCAGTAGCATCAGTAGCAGAAGCAGCAGTTGCAGCAGTAGCAGCAGTAGCAACAGCTGCAATAGCAGCAGTAGCAGCTGTAACAGCAGTAGCAGCAGTATCAGAAGCAGAAAATGCAGCAGCTGGAGCAGTAGCAGCAGTAGCAACAGCTGCAGTAGTAGTAGCTGTAACAGCATCAGCAGCTGTAACATCAGTAGCATCAGTAGCAGAAGCAGCAGTTGCAGCAGTAGCAGCAGTAGCAACAGCTGCAGTAGCAGCAGTAGCAGCAACAGCAGCTGCAGTAGCACCAGCTGTAACAGCAGCAGCTGTAACAGCAGTAACAGCAGTAGCAGAAGCAGCAGTAGCAGCTGTAACAGCAGTAGCAGCAGTAGCAACAGCTGCAGTAGCAGCAGCTTTAACAGCAGTAGCAGCTGTAACAGCAGTAGTAGCAGCTGTAACAGCATCAGCAGCTGTAACATCAGTAGCATCAGTAGCAGAAGCAGCAGTTGCAGCAGTAGCAGCAGTAGCAACAGCTGCAGTAGCAGCAGTAGCAGCTGTAACAGCAGTAGCAGCAGTATCAGAAGCAGAAAATGCAGCAGCTGGAGCAGTAGCAGCAGTAGCAGCAGTAGCAACAACTGCAGTAGCAGCAGCTTTAACAGCAGTAGCAGCTGTAACAGCAGTAGTAGCAGCTGTAACAGCATCAGCAGCTGTAACATCAGTAGCATCAGTAGCAGAAGCAGCAGTTGCAGCAGTAGCAGCAGTAGCAACAGCTGCAGTAGCAGCAGTAGCAGCTGTAACAGCAGTAGCAGCAGTATCAGAAGCAGAAAATGCAGCAGCTGGAGCAGTAGCAGCAGTAGCAACAGCTGCAGTAGCAACAGCTGCAGTAGTAGCAGCTGTAACAGCATCAGCAGCTGTAACATCAGTAGCATCAGTAGCAGAAGCAGCAGTTGCAGCAGTAGCAGCAGTAGCAACAGCTGCAGTAGCAGCAGTAGCAGCAACAGCTGCAGCAGCAGTAGCAGCAGCTGCAGTAGCACCAGCTGTAACAGCAGTAGCAGCTGTAACAGCAGTAGCAGCAGCAGCAGTAGCACCTGTAACAGCAGTAGCAGCTGTAACAGCATCAGCAGCAGCTGTAGTAGTAGCAGCTGTAACAGCAGCTGCAGCAGTAGCAGCAGTAGCAGCTGTAACAGCATCAGCAGCTGTAGTAGTAGTAGCAGCTGTAACAGCAGCTGCAGCAGTAGCAGCAGTAGCAGCTGTAACAGCATCAGCAGCTGTAATAGTAGTAGCAGCTGTAACAGCAGCTGCAGCAGTAGCAGCAGTAGCAGCTGTAACAGCAGTAGCAGCAGTAGCAACAACTGCAGTAGCAGCAGCTGTAACAGCAGTAGCAGCTGTAACAGCATCAGCAGCTGTAACATCAGTAGCAGCTGTAGCGGAAGCAGCAGTAGCAACAGTAGCAACAGCTGCAGTAGCAGCAGTAGCAGCTGTAACAGCAGTAGCAGCAGTAGCAGAAGTAGAAGCTGCAGTGGTAGCAGCAGTAGCAACAGCTGCAGTAGCAGCAGCTGTAACAGCAGTAGCAGCTGTAACAGCAGCAGCAGCAGTAGCAGCTGTAACAGCAGTAGCAGCTGTAACAGCATCAGCAGCTGTAGTAGTAGTAGCAGCTGTAACAGCAGCTGCAGCAGTAGCAGCAGCTGTAACAGCATCAGCAGCTGTAATAGTAGTAGCAGCTGTAACAGCAGCTGCAGCAGTAGCAGCAGTAGCAGCTGTAACAGCAGTAGCAGCAGTAGCAACAGCTGCAGTAGCAGCAGCTGTAACAGCAGTAGCAGCTGTAACAGCATCAGCAGCTGTAACATCAGTAGCAGCTGTAGCAGAAGCAGCAGTAGCAACAGTAGCAACAGCTGCAGTAGCAGCAGTAGCAGCTGTAACAGCAGTAGCAGAAGTAGAAGCTGCAGTAGTAGCAGCAGTAGCAACAGCTGCAGTAGCAGCAGCTGTAACAGCAGTAGCAGCTGTAACAGCATCAGCAGCTGTAACATCAGTAGCAGTAGCAGCTGTAACAGCAGTAGCAGCTGTAACAGCAGCAGCAGTAGCAGCAGTAGCAGCTGTAACAGCAGTAGCAGTAGCAGCTGTAACAGCAGTAGCAGCTGTAACAGCAGTAGCAGCTGTAACAGCAGCAGCTGTAACAGCAGTAGCAGCTGTAACAGCAGCAGCAGTAGCAGCTGTAACAGCAGTAGCAGCTGTAACAGCAGCAGCAGTAGCAGAAGACGAAACGCGCTCGGAGGAGAGGCCCTCTTCTCGTATTTACAGCGCAGGAGCACTGCGAGTGACAGGACTGCTGGTAAGGTCAGCGGCCGACTGGCTGGTAGCTTGGTGCAGGGCGGGGGTCTGGTTGGTGAGTGTGAGGAGGGACTGGTGCAGGGCTGTGTCTGGTTGGTGAGTGTGGGGAGGGACTGGTGCAGGGCTGGGATCTGGTTGAACGGTCGCTATTGACGCATTGTCAATAGCGACCGTTTCAACTTTGTATTTTGTATTTCGCCTTTCCCTGTTGCGGGCAGGCTCCACAGAGCAGCTGCAGCAGCAACCACACCACACAGCAGCAGCTCCAGCCACACCACACAGCAGCAGCTGTAGCCACACCACATAGTAGCCACACCACACATCAGCCACACCACACAGCAGCAGCTGTAGCCACACCACATAGTAGCCACACCACACATCAGCCACACCACACAGCAGCAGCTCCAGCCACACCACACTTCAGCCACACCACACAGCAGCAGCTGCGGCCACACCACATAGCAGCCACACCACACATCAGCCACACCACACATCAGCCACACCACACACAGCAGAAGCTGCTGCACCACAGGCCAATGAGGTGGCCGCGCCGAGAGCTGTGAGACATGGCCCAGCAGCCATATCGATGTATCCCGCCCCTCATTACAGAGATCTCCTTCCACCACTTTACAAAGCGCGGCTCTGAAATATAAATATATATACTGTAGATGTTTGTAAACCTCTAATGGGCCGCAATTACGACTCCACAACCTATAACAACTGTCACCCCCGCCCATTCACCTTCAATCGCTCTCCTTCATCTCCACGGCGTATCGCCATCCCCTCTCCCATCGCCCCCCGGTTCCCCCTTAGCCGTTCGCATCCGTGGCGCGCCCGTGATCGAGAGGCGAGGGTTGGTGGACCACGCAGAGCTTTGCGTGGAAGCTTTCAAAGCTCCGTTTTGGTCTGCGAGGTGGTAGGCCAAGAGACGATGTCAGCGCAGCAAGTGGGCTGGTGTTGTCTGCTCGAGTTTTCTAGCGCCGTTACTCGGGTTTCTGTCCACACAATGCTTGGCCGCTCGTTGCTTAGGCAGGAATTTAAACAGGATTTGACCAAACATCCCCAGAGGCAGAACCCCCCATGAACGGTGCATTGAGGCTTTCGTTGCGTTTTTTGTTAATAATATATATACAACTACAGTGGTTGCCTGTCCCATTAAACTTGTGTCACTTCTCTCCACATTACGTGGGACAAACGTATAAAGATCCCCGCCCCCCCCCCCCGTATAAGCTTGCACATATTGTTGGGGCAAGTGATGGAACACTCGCCGCTCAAACGCCCACACACAATACCTTTATTTTAATTAAAACCACCGTCACTCGGGGCGAGTTCGACAACCGTCGGGCGCGCGTAGCGTGTCACGGACGCGTGCGTGTCCGCGAGGATTGTAAAATTGGCATACATGGCGAAATGAGTGGTGGTGGTGGTGGTGGGTCACGAGGCACGGACATTAGCTAATATTCCTCTCCCCAGCCATAGCAGGGCTCCCTCATCCCACCCTCACCCCATCCCCTCATTGCGGGGGTGGTGGTGGAGGGGGCACCCGTCCAGTAATTGAGGTTGCGATGAACGCGTGGACAGGGCGGTGAGGAAATTGAGTTCAGTCCCCAGGAGACGACATAGTGTGTGGTTTAGTAGCGCAAGTTTTGATTTGTGCTGAAATAAAAAAAACGGAATTAACATTTTTAAATGGACAATTCCCAGCGCGATATTACAATTACGAGTTCGTGTGGTGTCATTGGATCGCAGCGGCTGAGATGACGGCGGGCCATCAGTAGAGGCGTCATCAGCGGCAGCATCGACACGAACTCGGTCATCTTCGGCAGCAGCAGTGGCATCAGCAGTTGCGACATCGTCATTGTTGCTCGTCAGCAGTGGCAGCCGCGGGGAGCTTTGTGATCGTCATTAGCAGCGGCAGGACGGAGGCAGTGAGAGGTGGCAGGCGGCCGTGAATCGCGCCACGCTTGCCTACCCCACAAACTCTACCTACCACTACCTACCACACCACTCTACCTACCACTTCCTACCACACCACTCTACCTACCACTACCTACCACACCACTCTACCTACCACTACCTACCACACCACTCTACTTACCAATTCCTACCCCACCACTCTACCTACCACTTCCTACCCCACCACTCTACCTACCACTACCTACCCCACCACTCTACCTACCACTACCTACCCCACCACTCTACCTACCACTACCTACCACACCACTCTACCTACCACTACCTACCACACCACTCTACCTACCACTACCTACCACACCACTCTACCTACCACTACCTACCCCACCACTCTACCAACCACTTCCTACCCCACCACTCTACCTACCACTTCCTACCACACCACTCTACCTACCACGACCTACCCCACCACTCTACCTACCACTACCTACCCCACCACTCTACCTACCACTAAATCGACACCTCCACTTGCTTCTACTAAAGCCGCCCCCTCCCGTCTCCCTCCCCACACCCCACCCGGCCCTCCTCGTCAGACCGCCCCATGCGACAGCCGCGGTCGCACCATGACCAAGGGCAAGAGCGTGCGGGGCCACCTAGGCGCTGGCGCGGGCCTTCACCTGCTGAGCCGCGGCCTCCTGCAGGCGGCCGTCGTGTCGAGCCTGAGCCCCGCCGAGCTGCTGGCGCTCTCGGGCGTCTCCACGGATCACCGCGACCTCATCATCAACGTGGGCGGCGCGCGGTACTCGCTGGGTCGCGACGCGCTCCGCGACTTCCCGCTGGGCCGCGTGCGGCGGCTGCGCGACTGCGTCTCGGAGGCCGAGGTCCTCGAGCTGTGCGACGACTGGGATCGGGACTCGAACGAGTACTTCTTCGACCGTCACGCGGACTCGTTCCGCGCCGCCGTGGGCTACGCGAGGCACGGCCGCCGCCTGCGACTGCTGCCGCACATGTGCGAGCTGTCGTTCCGCGGCGAGCTCGCCTACTGGGGTCTGGACAGCCACGCGTGCCTCGAGCCGTGCTGCGTCAAGAGGCTCGACGAGAGGATGGCCGAGTGCGCGTTCGGCGCCGCCGCCGCCGACGCCGAGAGGCAGGAGGCGGCGGAGGCGGCCGCGGCGGCCGCGCGCTCCCCCACGCCGCCGTGGCTCGAGCGCATGAGGAGGACGTTCGAGGAGCCCGGCTCGTCCGTGCCCGCGCACATCCTGGCCGCGGTGTCTGTGCTCTTCGTGCTGGTCTCCGTGGGGCTGCTCTGCGCCAGCACGCTGCCCGAGTGGAAGGCGAGCGAGCGCGCGGGCAGCGCGGACGATAACAGGTAAGGGCGACACGGCGGGGTCAAGTGGCGATGGTCAAGGGGTGGTCGCGCGTGTCGCCTGATCGCTGTTGGAAGGTCAAGTGGGGGGTGGGTGGGTGGGGTGGGGGGCTGAGAGGGGAAGTGATGTTTGCGTGGCCGTGTCGGAGTGTCATCTGGGGAGCTCTGTGGACAGGCGAATGAGAGGTCGTGGAAGACGGGTGACCTCGATAGGACCGGTGGTGTTTTAGTGACCGCAAGAGCAGGCGATCTGTATAAGCGAATGGTGGTCCAGGTAGGATCACTGCAACAAGTCATGGCTTCGGACCTTGTCTGGCTACGTTCCTATACGCCATGCCAGACACGGTGACGAAATGCCTTTAATGCTGCACTTTGGATACAAGAGTTCGGTGGATCCCGTGGAGATTTGTTGACACTCTCAGGCGAGTTCATGAGCATGTATCCTGGTTGCTCCCGTGTCCTCTATCAAGAAGCCAAACCACCCTTTATTTGAAAAGTAATCGTCCTAACATCACAATGCGAGACCTTGCTGAAATACAGCCGCGCGACTCGGCGAGAATGCCTTTGGGTACATAAACGGCTTCATTAAAATCACCATCATTATTATAAACTATCGTCATTATTATTGCATTGCAATTATAATTCTGCTCGTCGCGGGATGGCTGTTCAATAAAGCGTGGATGTCATAATTCCATGAGCGGATGGCTCTACCCAATCTGTCTCTAGGATGTTCCGTCTGCCGAGTTTTCCGCGCCCGCACTGATCTCGCATGGCACTGGCGGGAGGGGTGGTTGGGCATCTTTGAGAGACCGATTAGCACGGCTGACTACGTACGGCGCGAAAGAAGTTCAGCACAACGAGCCCCAGCGGGGAGTGGAGCTTGATATGTACGTTAAAAATTGGCTTTCCTTTAATTGCGAATCGGTGCTGCTATCGGTGTCGTGTTCTCACAAGACGAGATGTCCGTTCGGAATTTCTCGCAGAGAGCAATGCATCACCTTGTGGTTGGAGAAATGACCGGAAAACTTTAATCGCCTCTTATCTACGACTGTACACGAACGAACGCTCGTCTTAAACGCCGCCTAAAAAGAAAACGAGATATAATCGGCCACGTGTTTTTCTTTTCTTTGGACAGCGTTGACGAGTGTCTTGAGTTATCTGTTCATTGTGCTTCGTGCACCGATGCTAATGCAGCGTCGCTAAATGTTGAACACGTTCTGCAAAGAGACGTGAGATGTATCCAAAGCAAGCAACGTGCCAAATTTCATACATTTTTTTTCTTTCTCTCTTTACAATCGTTGACGACCGGGCTGAGACGGTAATCTCGATGCACGTGAGAGCCGGTGGTCCCAAATCCCAGTTCAAGCCCCCAGCTGGTCGCCGATGTCTCCCGGCACACGTGCTGATTAACATGTAGGGCGCTCACTTCGGCAACAGGCGTTCATATTCAGATGTCTAATATATTCGGATGTCTGATATATTTAGATGTCTAATATATTCGGATGTCTGATATATTCAGATGTCTGATATATTCAGCAGCTTGTTAGTCGTGGCTCCCAGGGGTGATTAGTTGTGGTCTACTCAGATGTTCAAAGGCAGAGATCCCCCGTGTAGCCTTAACAGACTGTTGGGTCAAATGCTGTTAGCGAGCACCTATGAAGGCCGGCACGGCACACGAGGGGGTGGGTGGCCAACACCACGCCCGGCCGCACTTTGTCTCCCCAGTGGCGATGTTTATATAGAGGTGTTAACTACGCACTGTTCGGTAACCTGCATTGCCACCAGGTATCAAAGGGGCAGTGCAGCGTTACCTCTGGGTACATAACGGTTGGGGTCAGACGAGGTGAAGTGGATCTTAGCCACTGTTTGGTAAGAACCAATCAGACGGTTCCACGTGTGAATGGATGATTGGTTGTACCTGGCCACGAACGAGTATAAGAAGGGTGACCACGCAGACCTCGAGGAGTTCTCTCCCTACACGAAGACCGAAGCCCGGGCTGAAGCCTAGCTAGGACCCTGGACCCAGCCTTCCAGCCCTTCTGAGGGCTAAGACTCGGCATACCCAGTGGTCTTGACTCACGGGGCCAGTGGTGGGTCAGATAGCCTCCCCTAGGTACCAGCCAGAGGACGCTAGGCTAGGATAGCGGTAGACGTGCGAGTCCCGCCAAGCTAGGAGGCTGTACCTCCTTAGGTATCAAGGAGGTTAACGGTAGACGTGCAAGTCCCACCAAACTAGGAGGTTAGCGGTAGACGTGCAAGTCCCACCAAACTAGGAGGTTAGTGGTAGACGTGCAAGTCCCACCAAACTAGGAGGTTAGTGGTAGACGTGCAAGTCCCACCATACTAGGAGGTTAGCGGTAGACGTGCAAGTCCCACCAAACTAGGAGGTTAGTGGTAGACGTGCAAGTCCCACCAAACTAGGAGGTTAGTGGTAGACGTGCAAGTCCCACCATACTAGGAGGTTAGTGGTAGACGTGCAAGTCCCACCAAACTAGGAGGTTAGTGGTAGACGTGCAAGTCCCACCAAACTAGGAGGTTAGTGGTAGACGTGCAAGTCCCACCAAACTAGGAGGTTAGCGGTAGACGTGCAAGTCCCACCAAGCTAGGAGGTTAGTGGTAGACGTGCAAGTCCCGCCAAGCTAGGAGGCTGTACCTCCCTAGGGTATCGGGTGAGGGGACCATATACCCCTCTTTGTGTGTTAAGGATTGTATGAGGAAAGAATAACAATAAACAGAGCGTGCCTCCTAAGAAGTTTACTCGTCTTTACAACACTACATTTACACACCACACCAGTTACTCATTTGAGGCTGACTCGACCTAGGGGAGGCCCAGGACCGGTACAGATATTCGTCACTGGTGTTGGCCGTGAGCAGGAATCGAACCCGGGATGTCGGGTTCGTAGCGCAGCGCGCTAACCACTGCACCACCACTCCTCACTTACTTTGATCTCTCACCACTTGTGCACTCACCAACACAGGGAATATTTGCTCAATATAAAAACGCGATATATTACGATCAATATTCATATACGAGCCTTTTGCCCATCCAAGGACGGGTGTATTGCAGTAAATCTGAAACTTGCAAGTGAAAATCAGACCGCGACGTGATATTCATTGCATCAATTCGTGTGCAATTTGTAAAGGCGCGATGACACAGACTTATTTCATGTAAAGGTTATAATCCCTTGTTCATCATGACGTCCTTTTTACTTCGATGTCTCAACAACATCGTTACGGAGATCACGTGACGTGAGGGTTCTGCCTTTGTAGTGAGGGTTGTCAGTTGATGCCGAGGGGGGGGGGGAGGAGGCGCCTCGGCCCCCCGTGTGGTGACGTCACCCACTAATTATTATATTTGGAGGACGTCACCTTATGATTATTAATGAGGGGGGCTGGTCGACGTGGAGTGACGTCACGAGCGTTGCACACAGACATTCTTGGCTCATTATAGTAGGTAATAATAATGGGGGGGGTGTCCATTTGGAGGACGTCACCTGCTCATGAATATTAATGAGGGGGGTTGGTCGACGTGGAGTGACGTCACGAGCGTTAAGGACAGACATCCCTGGGTGATCATCGTGGGTAAATGTGCACGTGAGATTCACGCGTGGCTGTTGCCGCGCGCACGTCACGGTCTTGCCGTTGATTTTCTGTTTCTCCCGTTGGCTCGGCACTCATCCACCCACACGCCACGTGCAACGCATTCACTCGCTCATCCATTCACCCACCCACCAACCCAATAACCCATCCAATCACTGCACACACTCACCAACCCACAAACCCTTCCAATCACTGCACACACTCACCAACCCACAAACCCATCCAATCACTGCCCACACTCACCAACCCACAAACCCATCCAATCACTGCACACACTCACCAACCCAATAACCCATCCAATCACTGCACACACTCACCAACCCACAAACCCATCCAATCACTGCACACACTCACCAACCCACAAACCCATGCAATCACTGCACACACTCACCAACCCAATAACCCATCCAATCACTGCACACACCCACCAACCCACAAACCCATCCAATCACTGCACACACTCACCAACCCACAAACCCATGCAATCACTGCACACACCCACCAACCCAATAACCCATCCAATCACTGCACACACTCACCAACCCAATAACCCATCCAATCACTGCACACACCCACCAACCCAATAACCCATCCAATCACTGCACACACCCACCAACCCACAAACCCATCCAATCACTGCACACACTCACCAACCCACAAACCCATCCAATCACTGCACACACTCACCAACCCAATAACCCATCCAATCACTGCACACACTCACCAACCCACAAACCCTTCCAATCACTGCACACACTCACCAACCCACAAACCCATCCAATCACTGCCCACACTCACCAACCCACAAACCCATCCAATCACTGCCCACACTCACCAACCCACAAACCCATCCAATCACTGCGCACACTCACCAACCCAATAACCCATCCAATCACTGCACACACTCACCAACCCAATAACCCATCCAATCACTGCACACACCCACCAACCCAATAACCCATCCAATCACTGCACACACCCACCAACCCACAAACCCATCCAATCACTGCACACACTCACCAACCCACAAACCCATCCAATCACTGCACACACTCACCAACCCAATAACCCATCCAATCACTGCACACACTCACCAACCCACAAACCCTTCCAATCACTGCACACACTCACCAACCCACAAACCCATCCAATCACTGCCCACACTCACCAACCCACAAACCCATCCAATCACTGCCCACACTCACCAACCCACAAACCCATCCAATCACTGCGCACACTCACCAACCCAATAACCCATCCAATCACTGCACACACTCACCAACCCAATAACCCATCCAATCACTGCACACACTCACCAACCCACAAACCCATCCAATCACTGCGCACACTCACCAACCCACAAACCCATGCACTCGATCCCCACCACTCACATATCGACTCCATCAACCACCCAACCAAAACATTTCCACCCATTCACCCGCGCGTGCGCTCACAACCCGATATCCGCGAACTAAACTCCGCGAAACCGCCCACCGCGCACACGCTCGCCTCCACCCACGCCCCGTCCCACCCCAGCAGGATCATCGAGGCGGTGTGCATGGGCTGGTTCACGGCCGAGTGCATCGTGCGCTTCCTCATCGCGCGCGACCGCCTTCGCTTCTTCCGCCAGCCACTCAACGCCATCGACGTGCTGGCCATCTCGCCCTACTACGTGGCCGTGGCGCTCGCCTCGGCGGGCGCCGACACCCCGCAGCTGCAGCGCGCCGGCGTGACCCTCCGCGTGCTGCGCATGCTGCGCATCTTCTGGCTCCTCAAGCTGGCCCGCCACTCGGTGGGCCTCCAGACCCTCGGCCTCACCCTGCGCCGCTGCTACCGCGAGATGGGCATGCTGCTCATGTTCGTCGCCGTGGCGATGGCCATCTTCGCCGCCCTGGCGCAGCTGCTCGAGGCCGGCCTCGACGTGGACGGACACGCGTCGGACTTTGCCAGCATCCCCGCCTCGTGCTGGTGGGTCATCATCTCCATGACCACAGTGGGCTACGGGGACATGTTCCCCATGACGGTGCCGGGCCGCGTGCTGGGCGGCGCGTGCGTGGTGAGCGGCATCGTCCTGCTTGCGCTGCCCATCACCTTCATCTACCACAGCTTCGTGCAGTGCTACGGGGAGCTGCGCCTGCGTGCCACGCGAAGCGGACGCATCCCACCGAGTCCCCTCTTCATGGACACGGACGGCTAGAGGAGTTCCATGCCTCCCCGCCCCGAGCCCCCCACCACCTCGTTCGTCGTGAACAGCGACGACTCGCGGGGGACATGTGCGTGAGCAGTGGGGGTGGACTTGACCCGAACTCTGGCATGTGCCTCGTGCCCCCCCCCCCCCCCACCACCACCCTCCACCCTCCACCCACCACACACCCCCCCACCCCACCCACCCACCACACTTGCTAATGAACATCTATCGTCAGTGGTGAAGGTTATTTAATTACACGGGTGGATGTCGACGTGGGGGCGGAGGGGGGGGGAGTTGAAGCTGGCACGTGGGTCCCTACGGAGACGCCCTTGAGATCTCTCGCAGGGGAAGGGCGTCTCTCCGTGCTGGAGAACGGCCCGCGGAACGAGCCCCCCCCTCCCCCGCCCCCATTCAGAGGTGGGTCCTCGGGGTGGCTGGGGCTGCCCTCGAGTTGAGGTCAAAGAGCTCCTCGCAGACGACCACGGCTCTTGTGATGCCGCCGTCGTCACCACACTGCACCATCGCTTCCTTCCTTCGGCCAGGTCCCCGAGAGAGCCGTTGCGTAGTCGACACCCTGCCTGGCCTTCTCGTTCTGTGCTCTTAGCTTCACCCCCGCTCAATATTTCGCACTGAAGATGGTGGTGGTGATGGTTGTAGTTGTGGTGGAGGAGTCGGAGGAGGTGGTGGTGGTCGTAGTTGTGGAGGTGGTGGTGGTCGTAGTTGTGGAGGAGGACGTGGTGGTGGTTGTGGAGGTGGTGGTGGTTGTGGAGGTGGTGGTGGTTGTGGAGAAGGAGATGGTGGTTGTGGTGGAGATGGTTCTGGAGGTGGTGGTAGAGGTGGTGGTGGTTGTCGAGAAGGAGGAGGTGGTGGAGGTGGTGGTGGTTGTGGAGAAGGAGGTGGTGGAGGTGGTGGTGGTGGTAGTTGTGGAGGAGGTGGTGGTTGTGGAGAAGGTGGTTGTTGTGGTGGTTGTGGAGGTGGTGGTGGTTGTGGAGAAGGTGGTTGTGGGGGTGGTAGTTGTGGAGGAGGTAGTGGTTGTGGTGGTGGTTGTGGAGAAGGTGGTTGTGGTGGTGGTTGTGGAGAAGATGGTTGTGGTGGTGGTTGTGGAGAAGGTGGTTGTGGTGGTGGTTGTGGAGGTGGTGGTGGTGGTTGTGGAGAAGGTGGTTGTGGAGGAGGTGGTGGTGGTTGTGGAGAAGGTGGTTGTGGTGGTGGTTGTGGAGAAGGTGGTTGTGGTGGTGGTTGTGGAGGTGGCGGTGGTTGTGGAGAAGGAGGTGGTGGTGGTTGTGGTTGTGGTGGTTGTGGTGGTGGTGAAGGAGGTGGTGGTTGTGGAGGTGGTTGTGGTGGTGGTGGTTGTGGAGGTGGTGGTTGTGGTGGTGGTTGTGGAGGTGGTGGTGGTTGTGGAGGTGGTGGTTGTGGTGGTTGTGGTGGTGGTTGTGGAGGTGGTGGTGGTAGTTGTGGAGGTGGTGGTTGTGGTGGTGGTTGTGGAGGTGGTGGTGGTTGTGGAGGTGGTGGTTGTAGTGGTGGTTGTGGAGGTGGTGGTGGTTGTGGTGGTGATTGTGGTGGTGGTTGTGGTGGTGGTTGTGGTGGTGGTTGTGGTGGTTGTGGTGGTGGTTGTGGTGGTGGTTGTGATTTAGAGATTTTGCACAGCGCGCTCGAAGCGCTACCCAGAGCACAATGCGTGTGAGGGTCGTGACGTGTATCAGGGTCGCGACTCGATTTTTTAAAGTAATATATCGATTGTTTTCCTCACGTTGTGGTGAATGTACCAACCTCTCGTGGCTGGAGGTCAAGTGAACCCATTACACACAACATATTAATCTAAAATAATCAATATCCACACGCACCGTTCAATGTATCGCGAGCGTTGTCTATTTATCAATGAACCGCTCCGCCGTTCAACACCACGCGTGTATCGGTACTGCGTGAGAATACTGTACATTGAAATACTCTATACTGTATAATCAACTTGACATTAATGTGCGGCCTTTTATCAATCCACTGCTGGATGAAGGCTTCCCCTCCCCCCCTCCTCCCCCAACACATCGTGTAACCTCACCACGCCCGTGGGTGTTGTTGTGGGTTCGGGCACACAGGATTAGCCTCAAAGTTGGTGCTGGCTCGCCACTGCCGAGAATTGAACTCAGGGTCTACCACTTTTTTAGTTCAATGAGCAAACCCGCTGCACCACCGCTCCACCATTTAATCAACTCGCATCGTTCTCACATTTTTTGTGGCCCACCCCCACCCCCCCCCCCCCCCCCCTTGTTTTTATTTCATTTCGTTTGCGTGCCATCGCCCGGGCACGCGTCCGATCTCGCAAGCTGAGCAGGGTTTTGGCAGAAAATATTGCTCACATGGGCGACCATCATGCGCAGTGAGTTGCTTTGGGCTGATTTTGACAATTTGTAGACGTGCGTGTACAATTTTTCTCACTTTTCAACATTCTGATTTGCGAGAAGAAGAAGAAAAAGAGACGATTTAATTGACATGTTTGCCCACGAGACAACTTAATTTGATTGACTCTCTCGGCTGCCGGAGGGTATACAGCAGCTGAAAAATGGGAATACCTCTACAATCGAACACAAAATAAACTAATAACGAATGATAGCATTCGTCGTGAGAGCCTACATAGTATTAAAAACAAATTGCATCATCATTCTTCTTCCCATTCTGTCGGGAAGCACTCATCCAGCAGTGGATTAGCAACATCAAGGCACGATGCGCACACGAGGCGCCATGCGCGTGGTCAAGCGACTCGTAATCAAAGTTCTCAAGTCGAGTCCAACAGGAGGAGGGCGTAGCCAATAGATCGATCAATCATCACCATCATCATCGGGGTTTAATTTCAGCCTGAGCTGTCCGGGGCTGAGTTCCAGAAAATATGACCAAGCCCTGATCATCATCGTCACACGTGGGGATTTGCAGCAAACGCCATGCGCCACGCCACTTTTGTGCCAGGCGAGGTGCACTTTGACGGCTATCACGTGAAGTGTTGAGGGCCTCGCTGGCAGGAGGTCACGGGACGGACCCAGTTGTCACGTGTGTGACCTCCGGGCTCCATGCACTTTGATGTAGGCAAGCTACGAATCAAATCAAGCTTCAAATCAAGAGTGAAGCTCCGAATCGTTCGTTCGATTTTATTTTCCACGATTCGGGTGCTGGCGAATCTATTCGAGAATTGATCCTATGGGTTTATTTTTCCTTTTTCTTGTTGCCAACGTGCCGAGCGTAGCTTCCTCTCCTGGCTGCCGGGCTTAACCACTCGCGACGACGAACGCGAATTCCAAGATTACCGCTTATTACGCGCGCGATAAAGGGCCCGCCGGACTGCGAGCACAATCGTCCGGGGCGGGTTTGTCTTGCCTCATTATTCTCGGCCTGTAGTAGCGCCAAGTGAAAGTTATCTTGTTGTACCAGATGAGGACTCAAGAGACCGGGATCAGTTATGGTTTTGGATGAGCAACCTAGGATAATAAAAAAGAAAACAGTGCCAATAGCATTGGCCTAAACGTTATAAATTTATATGAAGGTCATGGGCGACGTTCCGGGCAATGAACCTTCTTCGTGCGTTATGTGTTACGAATAAGGTTCAGACGCCTCCACCATGCCAAAGCGAATCTCTGCTCAAGCGAGAGTGGGTACGCCACTAATCTCCGCTAACGCCTCTGCTCACACCATTAGTGAAAATCCACGGTCACATGGTAGGGGCCCAGTCCATCCGTAAGCCGGATCGCCCATTCGTGGACATGTCTCGCGTCGCCGCCTCTCAGTGGCGACGATCAATGGGCGTGCAATCCGCGCGGCGTGATCCCCAGCGGCCCCGAGACTCTCAGCCTCCTCACGGGACCCCCGCTTCTGCGATTACACGAAGCAATCCACCGACCACCCCCTCGCCTCCACTCCCCCCCCCCTTCTCTCTTCCCCCGCTTGGTTCCTCCTAATTGCTTTTCATTCCTCGTCATTCTTCCTCATCCCTCCTCTTAATCTTTCTCCTCTAAATCTCTCCTCTTCCCTCCCCCCCTCTCATTTCCCCATCCTTCGTCATACCTCCCCCAATGCTCATCTCTCCTTGTTTTCTCTTATAACGACTGATCCATCCCCCTTCCTCCCCGTCCCTCCTTTCTCGTCCCACCTCGTCCTGCATCCCTCCCCATCCCTCCCCATCCCTCCTCATCCCTCCTCATCCCTCTCCATCCCTCCTCATCCCTCCTCATCCCTCCTCATCCCTCCCCATCCCTCCTCATCCCTCTCCATCCCTCTCCATCCCTCCTCATCCCTCCTCATCCCTCCTCATCCCTCCCCATCCCTCATCATCCCTCCCCATCCCTCCTTATCCCTCCTCATCCCTCCCCATCCCTCCTCATCCCTCCTCATCCCTCCCCATCCCTCCTCATCCCTCCTCATCCCTCCCCATCCCTCCCCATCCCTCCTCATCCCTCCCCATCCCTCCTCATCCCTCCTCATCCCGCCCCATTCCTCCTCATCCCTCCCCATCCCTCCCCATCCCTCCTCATCCCTCCCCATCCCTCCCCATCCCTCCTCATCCCTCCCCATCCCTCCCCATCCCTCCTCATCCCTCCTCATCCCTCCCCATCCCTCCTCATCCCTCCCCATCCCTCCTCATCCCTCCCCATCCCTCCCCATCCCTCATCCCTCCTCATCCCTCCCCATCCCTCATCCCTCCTCATCCCTCCTCATCCCTCCCCATCCCTCCCCATCCCTCCCCATCCCTCCTCATCCCTCCCCATCCCTTATCCCTCCCCATCCCTCCTCATCCCTCCCCATCCCTCCTCATCCCTCCCCATCCCTCCCCATCCCTCCTCATCCCTCCTCATCCCTCCCCATCCCTCCTCATCCCTCCTCATCCCTCCTCATCCCTCCTTATCCCTCCCCATCCCTCCCCATCCCTCCCCATCCCTCCTCATCCCTCCCCATCCCTCATCCCTCCCCATCCCTCCCCATCCCTCCTCATCCCTCCTCATCCCTCCTCATCCCTCACCTTTCGTCCCCCATCCCCCTCCTGACTCAGCCAAGTTGTCCCTGACCCCGGCCCAAACACCCGACACCGCTCTCGTCTACCCTCCCCTCTCTCTCACTCCCCGGATGCAATTAAAGTCTCCGCCGACATCACCACCGCCCTCGCGTCTCTCCGAGCAGGAGGATGATGATGAGTGGACACGCGATGCCCGGGATACATGAAGAAGCTGCCGCGGAGACATCGGAGAGGGAAGGGCGCGTGTCCTCCCTCGTGCGCCGAGCGAGAGCGAGAGCGACTTCCAATTGTGGCCGCGTCTAACGGGGACTTGCGCAAAAGCGACGTCGTCGTCGTCATCATCGTCATCATCGTCGTCGTCATCGTCGTCATCATCGTCATCATCATCGTCGTCGTCATCGTCGTCATCATCGTCATCATCATCGTCGTCGTGCTCCAAGTCCAAGGCCAGGAACCATTCTCCTGTGGGAGTCGAGGCTGCCCGTGCACTCATCCCAGAGGCCCTCGAACGAGTCTCGCCGATGGCCCGCTCAAGTTAGCGTTTGAGGCGATGCTCCTCTCTTGGTGGTGGAAAGTCCACATTCCTATGGCGGGGGGAGGGGGGTCTGACCCGTCTATTTGACCTTCTTCCCCTTCACCGGACGAATTAAATAGCATCAGGCGGTTTCACTCAGGACGGTTCCGTAATAGTACAAAGTAAATAGCGACGAAAAAACGACGTTATTACTA